TTCAGGACCCCACCTTGATGTTTCAGGACCCCACTTTGGGTCCCGATCCCAACTTTGGGAAATACTTCTTTTAACAACACTGCATAATGTGGTCAGCTGCTCAAATACTAATCCTTGAAAAATGGCTTGAAGACCTCGATCTGATTGTCTTGGGACATTTCTAAATTTGATAAACACAAATAATAAAGTCAATGTGTAGCAAAACAAAAAGGTTACAAATATTTTAAAATCAAAAWTTCACATCGGATGAGTGTGGAAAAAGTATGATTTTCAAAACAGATGTGATTAAAGCAGCTCATGTTTCCCACTGGTTCTGCRCATCAGTGGATCATAGAGCTCAAACCCACCTTTAGTTACATTTGTAGAAATAACCTGGTCGCTCTTTTATGCACACCAGGTCACACAAAAGCAAAACAGTTCCTTTTGTACCATTCCAGTCAGACGCATTACGTTCAGCTCTGATTTTTTAATATGGATCTAGCAGCTTTTGTGCAGGATTCAAGAGTATTCTGATCATTTGGAGATTAATTTCACAGCTCAGCAGTGCCAAAGATTGAATTTAGTGGACCAGATGTGCTGATTTATTGGTCTAGACAGATAGTGAACTATTCATTTTTTTAACATGTTCCTATTTGCTGTTTAAAAAAGTGAACATGTTTAAACCAACACAACAAATGAACAAACTCTAAATTGCAATCTTATATTTTTTTCACTTTCTGAAGACAAACCAGTTTTATAACACCAATGTTTAGGATCATTTGCAGTTTTGCAAAAGAAAAGTGACGATCCCTGATATTATGAATCCATTCATCTGTTGTTGTTTTATTATTCTTCAGCAGATGAACAAAGTGAGCCAACAGGGTTTCTATACATTTCCCTGCTCTCCAACTAAACCTTTCAAAAATAGATTAAATTAGTTGAAAGGAGTTGAGCGCTCAGGCTGCTTTTTTGCAGCAGTGAACCATATTTCAAGTAACAATACAGTGTCTGTTTGTGTGTTTTGATTGCTATTTGCTTGATAATTCCAATAAAAATGAGGTTATTTTGATGTAAATATATTCTTGGAAGTGAAATTTAAAAACAAAATGGAAAATAGTGCAGTGCTCTGTTCTTTTATGTATCTATTTTTAAATATAAGTATGYGCTCAATTACTCAGTATTACCTAGTAAAATATGTTTTTCTAAATGTATCATAAACACAAACAACATGCTCTTTTAAATTATTTTTTTTATTTTAAATTTTAAACAGACAATAGGTTCTATGGCATTAAATGAAACCTGCACATTAATTTTAGCAAAGTCTAAGCTTACAAGGATTTTTATRTTCCACTACATCACCTTAAAGATTTGATAGAGAAGTGCCAAGATGCTCATCTCTCCACTTGTCAATTTCTGCCAAATTGTTTATGAAGCTCAGCTGAAAGTCAACAAACTTTTGCTTACTCAGACTGGCAGTTTGAGTCCTTATGTCTCCAAACTTGTTCCGATCCTGGAGACACTCAAAAGCTAAAGAAATAATTTTATACAATTAAACTTTTTTAACGTTTTATTAAAATAAACAGAGTACAACCATCCATTTTGAGATTTGCCAACTGTTATAAACATTTGAATGGGTCAGCTGGGTTTTACGAGTAGACCAGTGGGTAGATGTCAGGCAAGCATCTCCATTAAAATGTACTCAAAGAAGTTTACAATCAGTAATACTGTTTAACTTAATGCAGCAACTGCTGCTTATTTAAATGTATCTCCTCACAGTGTCAATTTATTCTGAAAAAAACAGTTTGAATTCACATAGCAACATTTTCCTAAAAGAGTATATGAGAGAAGAAAAGCTAAAATATTGAACAGATTTGTTTAAACGGAGGGTGGGTGAGGGAACGCCCAGCGCATGATGCCTCCGTCTGCGCTGGCGCTGACCAGGATGCGGTTGTGGGCGCAGATCTTCATGCTGGTGATGCTGCTGCCGTGAGCGATGCCTACATGGGTCACCTCACCTCCCATGTAGTCCCACACCTTCACCAGTTTGTCATCTCCACCTGGAAGAAAAGTTAGGAAATATATATGAGTAGCTGTAAAAATAAAAATTCTGAGCCAAGGATGTGTATAGGCGTCAGCGAGGGAGTTAGAAACRGGGGCTTTGAAGAGTTACAGCAAGAAACAAAAGTGGGGGAAAAACTTGTGAAACTAGCTACCAGAAGATCTAATCCTGTTCTGATCACACTGTATCTGGATCAAAGGCAAACCCTCCAAAGAATGAATAACTCCTGTTTGGTTGCATGTTTGTTTCTATAGAACCTGAACAGAACAATCAGACCTGTCACAAAGTGCCTGCCGTCCTGTGTGATGTGCATGGCATTGACGCATCCAGACTGGGAGCCCTCCAGTTCTCTGATAGCACCGCCTTCGTACACTTCCCAGTAAGCAACCTGAGAGTCAAATCAGCAGAAAGATAAACATTAACATAACATTTGTTTTCATCTATGTTTTCTTACTTTACTGTCTAAGCCAGAGGAGCCCAAAGTGGGACCCGTGGGCCAAACTTGGCCCACCAAGCCATTTGATTTGGCCCACCAACAGTTGCCAAAGTTACAAGGTTGTAACCTGTTATTCTATGTAGAAACACAGTATTTCCATTGGTCAAATGACTATATAAATGGGCTGTAGTRAAGGTAGTTTTCATTCATGGTGCTGACTTTATCTTTGTTTTATTAGGATTAAACATGAAACATGAAATGACAAGAAATATTTTGATCAGATTTAATCACATGTAGATTTGCACACTTTATAAGGCCACAAAAACTCATATTTTATCAATTTATGAAATGTCCCATGAGCCTTTGCTACTTCAGCATGTGGCAGATTTTCTCCAAGTGCACAGACTGAAACAAAAGAGGGCCATTGCATACTTAAATCATTAAAAATAAAGAACTTTACTTAAGAAGTATTTGCATTTCATGTATTATATTACTACCTTTGGCCCGCAGCCCTGAATAGATTTTCATTTTGGCCCTCTCGGGGAAAATGTTTGGGCACCCCTGGTCTAAGCACAAAAATAATTCATAAATGATCAATTTTGACCTTTTTTGCAGCAAWCTAAAAAATATTATCYTCCTGGATRGACTGAATTTAACTGTGATTGGATGAGAAGTATAAATACTGTATATATCATTCTGATCCTGTATTAGTTTGTACACAATCCATCACAGCTGCAAATAACACAAATCATGTCACACTCCAGCAGAACATAGCAGATAGTATGTAGCCTAGTACAAAGATATATATATA